TAAAATTCATCATCTAAGGCAAGGAAAGATGTGCTGAATTTGAACCACATTCAACGTGGTTTGGCTATCATTGGTGTTCCTGGTTGTGGGTGCGTTGGCTGAATTCATTACAGCTTTTACTTGCTTGCTTCTGGGGTGGGGAGAGCGGAGTTACAGGGGAAGAACACGGCACGGTGTTCGGATTTCATGAAAAGCGCTGTGCCGTGGGCCTTTCGCTACTCACCTGCTACCTGCTGCTTGTGCCGCGGTGTCCTCCGTGGTTACCCGGGCTCGTCGCTCTTTCACCAGGAAGAAGGGCTCTGCAGTGTGCTCTAAGGCATCCTTCGCTTCCGGCGCGGAGCCTGTTCCTAGGGCAGCAGGCACGAGCTGCAGCAGAGCAGGTACGACAGCGACAGCGCGCCTCCGCAAACGCAAGGTCGCGTCGTCCAGCTGCACACGGGTGACACGCTTGCAGCCAGGCTTGTTTGGGTTTGCTGTGCAGACCTCTTCCAACCGCTGCTGAAAAACCCACTTAGCAATAGTACAGACGTTGGTAGAAAAGACAGAAGGTAGGACCAAGAGCTACACCGTGATTTAAAACCCAAACCCCTGCAATTCCTTGGCCTCCCGCGTGCTGTGACTACTGAGGATTTTTTTGTTTACTTTGAGTAAAAATAAGCCTGGGAAAGGAGAACTTTCCTGGGAACGGGAAGCAGAGATAATGATGTAGGCAAGCCGTTTGTCTTCATCCTGAAATATTATACCAGGGGAAGAGGTTTGACATGGTTTATACCACAAAAGTAGATTTTGGTTTACATCGTTGCATTTTGTTACTCTCTTACTGTCCCCTTCGTATACTTCTCTGTGTGCATTTTATGGACGGCTGTGCTAATTTTTTGCAGATACTTACATAGCTGTTTGGAAAAAGCATTGCAACAAAATAGAAAAGCAGCTTAAGGTTTAGCGAGCTTTAAGGATAAACTAGGTTGTAGACGTGTCTGAAAGCAGGACCTTAAACTGACACTTGGGTCATAAATCAAGTTTGAAATGGAATTAAAACTTAAAGCAATATTAGTGAACGGAGTGGACCCAAAACTGTACCGTTAGGTTGTACAGAGCGGGCTTTATCAAAGCATGTTAAAAGGAAGAGCGAGGCGGCTCTAGCGATGAACCCATTAAATCTGTTGAGCAACCACTGTCAGAGCAATTGTCAGTATGATTTCAGCACGCATTTTGAAAAAGCCTTAAGATCTATTGTCTAGGGGCGGTTCGGGGGGGAGGATTTTTTCAAAATTTGTTTTTTTCATACTGGAGGAATATGTGCATTAGACTTGCAGTGCCGGAGCTGATCAGCCAAAGGAGCTGCTGCCTACTGGAACCAATGTAAATGTTGAAGACAGTGGGCATCACCGTTCGTGCGAGATGAGGGTTATGTGAGTAGCCCCGAGCAGGAGCCCTTCGTGCTGTGTGGATCATGCATGTATAAATAACTTGAGAGCGGCGGGTGGGCAGCGTGTCGGTGTGAGAGAGGAGCGCACGGAGGAACGCACCGTTCTGTACCTGTCCTGTCATGGGCTTGACAGACCTTGGCATTTGTATATGGTGAGGTGGCTACTTGCGAAATTGGAACTGCCTTCTGATTTCACGTGAAAACAAAGTCCGTAACCTGTCACAGGTTCGAATGCCTTATTTAATACTGAAAAGCAAAGAAAAATATTTGTGCTATGAAATGACTTAAACGAATCCAAGGACTGTGCAGAAAGGATAAAATTAGATTTTTTTAATATTTTTTTTGAGATGCTTTGGTTATTCAAGGTGTGTGAAGGATTTGTGTGTTGACCTTTTCCTGTGCTGTCCTGGTTCTGTATTTCTTAGTGTGCCTTTGCGTAGAAGCTGCTATTTCTGTGTGATTGATTATTGCAGAATTGTAGCGCTTCCCATGTTCAAAGTACTTTACATATTTTAGGCAACCTTCTTAAAAGTGGCTATTGGTTTTTGAGATCTAAATTCTTATTTTATAAAATACGATGCCCCATAGTTGCCTCCGGATGGGTGTCTACAGTCAGGCTTCAGCTTTGGAAGTCTTGCCCACTCGCCATTTGTGCGCGTCTGATGGGGGTAAGCAATTGCTGGAGCCCACGGGGGGAAAATGTTGGTTCTGAAATCAAAACGGTGTCCTTTAGAGGCTGCTTTGGGAATCACAGCAAAACACCAAACGTTTTGGACCACAGCTACTGTCAAGCCTCAACTTCTCCTAGCCCTCTTGGACCTTTATCACAATGCATTTTTTTAAGGAAAAAAAATGAGAGAGCACTGAATGGCCTTGCAAAGTTTGGGAGCCACTAGCCTTGTCTTTGAGATCGAGGCTTGCTTCTTAGAACGTTAACTAAATTGCTTTCGTTATTAGAGTTGAAGACACGTTTATTGCAAAGCTCTGTTTTCGGTCATCTCTGGTGCAGATTGCTTTGCCATGTGTATGTGTGATTCTTGCCAGATGACTCTGCAGTCATTTTCCTCTCCTTTAGTGATTTCCTAATTCATTTTTTATTACTGGCACATTTTCCCCGCTGCAACAGTATAGGCAGCCATTTTTTTTGAAACCTGCCATTGCATCCTAGCAGCGCGGGCTGTGCGGTTAGAGGACATCGATTACAGTTGGGTATGGCGTCACCCCCTGCAGATACGCAATTTTTTGGTGAGCTGTTAATGACAGATAAAACTCATTAAGTTAATTTTGCTTGAACTGGCATTACTAGTCCTGTGATTTTTTTTTTTTTCTTGGCCCAGAGCTTGACTGCCAAAATTATATGAACGTGTACAACTTTTTTTTTTAATCTTAACAAAATCACTGCTAAAGAAATGGAGCAAAAGTATCACTGGATCTATTCATTACTGATAGTTTTCATAATCTGTGTGTCTGAGTGTGAAAGGGAGCATCCTCAAGTAAAGCAACAAATGAGGAATGTGTTACAGGCATTTGGATAAGAATTCTAATGAGCCTGTATGGAAAATGTGAAGCTTGGAATTCTGTTGAAGACAGTCATGAAAAAGTAGCTGTTGTGAAGCGTTAGGTCCGTTTTATCCCGTGATGTCCAAAATGGGCTATGCTTTGTAGGTGCTGTGACTTGGATTATAGGGGAGGATATGAAAGCCAGTTCCCTAATTGATGCAAAGGTGGGGTATTTTAAAATTAAGCAGTGTACCTAAATTTCTGGTAAAATTCTTCACTGCTAATGGAAACCGGCCATGTCCTAAGAGCTGAGAGCGCGGCGTTAGGAATCCCGTGCGCGGCATCGGCCGCCCGAGTAGAGAAGCTGGACGGGGAAGCGTGCTGCCAGGGAGTGAGGCCAGGTCAGCTCCAGTGCTGGCTTTGCAGATAAATAAGGAGAAGATGGACGGCTTTTTAAATTCTAAGTGGGGGTTTTCCCAAGTTAGTTCTGTGGGCATTTTGACAAAACAAGAACTGGAGCTGCATGTGACTGGGACTGTGTCCCAAGCCCAGTGGGACATCTCCAAACACAGTCCGAGGCGTTACTTTCACCTTTGCAAAAGGAGGGATCATCGCTTCAGCGTTCCTCAGGCCTTCCTGGAGCGTTGGTTGTCACAAAATAATGTGGTCTGGTTACAGGTCCTTCAGGAGGCTACAGCATGGCTTGTTACCAGGTGTTTTTAACAACTGTAGATACAGTAAGCGGGAAGAGGAAGTTGCATGAATAGTTCATGACTTTTAATGCTGTTTTATTTCTTTACTGCAGTGATATTTAAAAGAGGAGGAACAAATTGCACGGCACTATGTAAACCACAGGGTGTTCCAGCTGATTCACTACTTCAGCTGTTAGAGCAGTGTTTCAAATTGCCGTGAGAGGCTGTTTGCTCCGTCACCCGAACCTTTGATACGGCAGATTCGGTTTGACTCCCGCCCAGTTACCCGACTGAAAGAATTACTGGCTGACTGGTTTGAGTGCAAATTCGCACAGACTTCTGAAAATGTGCGTGGAGTGTGAATAGATCATCTCAGTGGACAAAAAGTATTCCATGAAAAAAATCCAAAGCAAGGAAATCCGTTTTCTCAAAACACCTTTAATCGGAAGATACCCTGGCAGCAGGGCAATGGCAGGCTCTCAGGTGCCTGCCGGGAAGGGTGGTGTTCTGCGGCGGCCGCAGGCTGTCGGTCACCTCCCTAGGAAAAAGGCTTCCCAAGACAGAGTTTTCTTCTGTTTGTTGGTTTTATTAACCAGTGTGTGGTGTCCAGAGGGCTTTGGGGGAGCTCCTGTTCTCCTTAGCACTTTCAGTGGGCTTTTTGGAAGGAGGAGGAGGAGGCTCTCGTTGAGACTTGCTGCTTTGAAACCTCTGTCACTGGAGGCTGGTCACGTAGCAGAAGTTCTTTTAGCAAACGTAATTCTGCTTTTTCTCCTGTAAAAGCTGTGAATGATGACCAAGAAACACTGGGAAATCATGTTCAAGTATACTATCTATGCAAATCATGAGCAAAAATGGCTCGTCAGATGAGTTGTGATTACCCGTGCAGGTATTGCCAAGCTGGAAAGGACGATTGATCTCGTCACCGGTCCTCGCTGGTGGGGCTGGGTGTTCCTGCTGCCCCATGCTTTCTGCATCTCTTTGGCTTGCAGATCGGCACTATGCAGAATTCCTTCGCGGGGCAGAAGTTTGGGCTACAGATCAGTTTTGTGTCAGGAGCAGGATCTGTGACCTGCCCACAGTTACAGAAAAGTTAAAGGCATTTCAGTTCTTGAACAATTAAGTTTAAGCTCTGTGCAGAATTCTCCTTGGAGAGATGAGTAACTAAAGCTTCTCTGGAAGCTCTGCTCGGTTGCAGCCTCGCTAGCTGATGATGTGGCAGGGTTGTTGGGTAACTGCAAATGGTCTTTCACGGTTACAGACATGAACCGTAGGAACCCCGGGTTCTGTTCCCAGCTCTGACGCTCGTTTCCGGCTGTGCCTACGGCCAAGTCACCGAGGCTGGCAGGGACGTGTCCTTTCCCGGCCGTAGCTCTAACGGCATGAACAGGTTCTTGTCCCGGGCCTGCCTTGCTTGGGCAGTGCCGTCTCCACCGATCTGCCGCCTGCTCAGCTCTTGCACTTTCTCCGTGGTAGATTGCAACAAAGCAGAGGGGAATGTGTATAAACTGCAATTTTAAGCTGTTTCAGCTCCGCAGCTGCGCCTGTGAGCTTGTGTGGCCCGAGGTTCTCATTCGGGAAACAGATTCCTGGCCTTTAGTCAGCCGAGTCCGCTGCAGCAGAGGTGTTCTCCTCTGGTGGGACCGCTCGGGCAGTTAGGCTTGAGTTGTCTGGAGGTCTCTACTCTTCGTAATAAAAATGTCATTAAACTCATCAACCTTCAGGTGCTGGGGGGCTGGCCTAAAGGGGCATATAAACAGTCCGGGAAAGATCCAGCGATGCCCTAGACACTGAAACTTTTCATTTCTCTTGCAATACCTTGCAGCGAGTGGCATGGAGATTAGCATTTATCACCAGCAGAAGAGTTATCAGCTGCTTTCTTTGCTCCTTCTGTTTTTCCCTGCTTTACATCTGTTTGCTTTGGAGTGGAATTTTTTCGGGCGGTAGAGTATGACTTTCCACAGCGAGGCTGTCTGGCGATGTGCGAGTGCCAGACGCTTCTGAGATGGAAGAGAGCTGTGCTCCTACTCTTACTAATTAAGCACATTTTTTTTCTTGCTTGCAAAACGCTTTTGTTGTGGCATCTTCTGGATTGAAATGGTGTGTCACTAATGTCAGATATCGAAAACGCTGCTGCTACAAACGTTGTTCTCCTGTTAAATTTTGTGTCAGCGTTTAACAGGTATATTTTTTTCATCTTACTGTCATGCTTGTGTTTCTTTTCTTAAAGTTTTATTTCTTTTAAGTTGTGAATAGTTGCTTTCGTTTTGCTTTTGGCATTCTCTGTATTCTTTCCAGTCCTTTCCCCTATCTACTTTTTGCCTCCCTGCTCCACTCTTATCTTCAAACAAGCTTTTGCACAGGAGCACGTGACTAGAGCAGCCTTCCACTGCTTGTCGTCTAAAGGTTGTTCGCCTTCAAATCTCTTTGAACACCCTCCCCTTCCTTTCTTCCTCTTTTCTTTCTTCTGGACTTTTCTTTCTGAACAAGAATGTTTCTGTAGTAATGATGCCAAATACAGAAATTTGTATGTTTGAGAGGATTTTTAAATTATTCTTTTACTTTAATATGACACCATCCTGAACGTGAACATACCTAATGCCCTGCATTAGAGAACTTGACCAAGCAAGACTTTCCGTTAGCTGGTAGTACCAGCCATTTCTGGTGCAGCTCATTGTGCTCGCCGTTCATCGCCCTCTGCAGTTGCCCGGTGCGGAATTGTCCTCGTGGGAGTTCTGTAAGTGTCAGGTTGTAGTCGAGACAGATCGAGGTCTGAGCCTAGCTTCGCAAGTGGAGCAATACAACGGCAAAGGTAGTTCCTCACCTCCAGTAGTGGAACTGGTAATGCCCTTTCCACCTCTTTCATCAGCCGTCCTTTCTCTTGGCATCGGAGAACAAGGAGACTTGGTGCCTACAGTGCAAAGTTGGTTCTGAGATCAGGAACGTCTGATGCTCGTGCTGAAACTCACTGCTTCCTGCACCGCCGGTGATTCCCTGTTGACCAACTGAACACTTCCAAACTCAACCTCGCTAGATTGTTCCGTGTCTTAAAGCTTTTTGTTTCTTATGTTAGTAATTTTCTTGGCCTGTTATCTGAATTAGTACTGTTTTACTGTCTTGCTTGTTGTCTTTTGCCTTCACCTGCTTCTCCAGGTCAGGACGTTAGAGCTAGGAAGGGTTCTGGTGAGTCATGTAGCCCCAGGAAAGGCTTAATTAAAGCTAGACTTCAGTGACCTAGATACAAGCCCTTGTGTTACAGAGACATTGAAACCTTCCCATATGACTTAGTTTGGTTTTTAATTATTCCTTTCCATTAGAAAGGAATTTTTGGGTTTTTTTTTCCAATATCCGAACTAAGTTTTCCTAGCTGCAACTTAAGCCTGCTTCTGTTCTTTGTTGTCCTTCAGATTACCCCTGGTCTTGGTGGAACAGTCTTCTGTGTATCAGAAGATGTGCGGGTATATCCCGAGCTCCCTCTCCTCTAGGCAAATGACCCCAATTTCTTTGCTCTTTGCTTCTTAGATTCTTTAGCCTTGCATTATATGTCATGTTTGCAGGATGTCTTGGCTCATCTTCCACTCCCCTGGATGCTCTCCAGTTGGTTTGCAGTGCTTCGGCTGTGGCTCCCGCTCCCCCCTCGTACTGAAGGCCCTCTTCTCAGCGGGGTGACGTTACCGACTCACATTCAGCCTCTGGTCTTTTTCTGCAGAACTCCTGTACAGGCTTTTATTCTCTTTTTGTAGATAGAGTTAATTGTGTCTAACTGCTGTATCCTTTAGTCTTCTGTCGGCCATCTGGCTGGTCAAGGTGTCTTTGAATTTCTTCGTGTCGCTTGGTGTTCTTGCAGTCCCGAGGTGGTGTCCTCTGCAAGTTCCACACCTGTATTCCCCTTCCCCTCGCAGAGGCAGTTGGTGACAGTACTGACCATTAGGCCTGGAACAGGGCTCTGGTTCAAGGCACCTCGCTCAGATCTCCTGTTTTGGCAGGAAACTATCGATAAGTATTCTAAGCATCCTTTTTTGTTGTGGGTTGGCTTTCAGTGTTGCTGCCATTCATGGATGAGTTGGTGGTAATGGCAGGAAATCCCATTTGAGGTTAGACAAAACGGTACTTCGTGGAGATGGAACTTGTGTGGGGAAATGCTCTCTGTCTAGGGAACATGCTTTTGTTTTTAAGCTGGTGCGGATCTTCTCAAACACAGTTATCACCGCGTACGAGTCGGGCTGGTTTGTTTTGCCCTTTTACTTTTCTCATAGTCTGCTCTGTTAGGGTCACCGTGAGCCCAGCTGCGAGGGGCTGTAATTCATGTATGCGTTCTTCTCATTGCTGTTTCACGGGGCTTCAAGGCTGCATGGTAGCGAGTACTTTCTATTCATTCTGAGACGTAGGATTTTTTCTTTCATTTTCCAGAACGAGCACCTCAAAATTGAGATTTCCCCCCCCAATTTTTGGAGATTCTCTGGACACAGCAGACTTTAATTTACACATTACTTTTGTTTCCCATTCAAAAGCTGCTCATCTAAAACTGCTGCTTGATATCTGGGTATCATTTTTCAGCCCAAAGATCACCATTTTTCAAAACTACAGTTAATAAAACAGTCTTTCTTGATAGTCTTTTTTATTTTGTGTTTTAGGGTTTTGACCCACCGCATCAAAGCGATACAAGAACTATTTATATAGCAAATCGTTTTCCCCAGCATGGCCATTATGTTCCTCAGAAGTTTGCAGACAACAGAATCATCTCATCCAAGGTAAGGAATGAATCTGTCCTGGGAAAACCACTTGATATGTTAGGTAAGTAGTTGTGTGGCCAGCGTGCGTGTGTGTATTATGTCTGATGGTGCACAGACAGATCAAAAATGAAACAAGCTCCAAACTTTTTGGGGAAGAAAGCTGGGCTGCTTCCTACGTAGTCTTTCTCCTGCTCTCGTCCCTCTCTCCTCAGATCCAAAGTACAGAACAATTAAGCATTAAGAATTTCTGAAGAAAAGTAGGTTTTAAACCAGTGTTGCCTGTGTCTGAATGCGATGCGCAGAACCGCTGGTGGTGCGGGTTTATAACACAGCCGCACGGTGAGCTCTGCACAGAACAAATCAGCAAGGGGCTGCGTGTGCAGATTCCCGTCCTAGCAGATTCCCAGGAGGACTGATGGTGGGGATGAGTCTTGTTGCTGTAGCGCAGAGAGAAGGTTACAGCTGCAAGAATTGATCTCTTCTCTGCCAGCCAGGACGCGAGCAGCCAAACGGCTCCAGCTGCTCCTGCCCCACGCGGTAGAGAACGCTTCAGACTTCGACTGGAAAGGCGATGCAGTTGCTACCCCTGCTTACCCCTTAGCTGTACCGAAAAAAATATCGGATACAGCAGCTCTGAGTGGCAGTAGGGCAAGACCAGAAGAAGGATTGGGTGGGGGAGGGAGGTGGGAAATAAAAATATTTAGGATAAGAGAGTTTAATGGGAACAGAACTGAATTTCACTGAAAAATTGTTCATTATATCACAGCTGTTCTCTCTCTCCCTCTTTTCCCTTCAGTACACAGTGTGGAATTTTGTTCCAAAAAACTTATTTGAGCAGTTCAGAAGAGTAGCCAACTTTTATTTTCTGATTATATTTTTGGTTCAGGTAAGTTGAATAATACTCAGGAAATTGCAATTTATATTGTAAATTCTGCCACTGCTTTTTGTTCTATGAATTTAACTTCTCTACTTACACATTCTGTCTGTAAGAAACAACACATTTCCAGCTTCTCCGGGAAAATAACTTTAAAAAGAATTTTATGCCCAAATTTAAATACTGTCCTTAGTGTTCATGAATGCTAATATATGTGAGTGCAAAGCCCCTTGCACTGCCAGCACAGGGGCTCAACTGTCTGCCTCAAAATACACTTCAAATCTGTTAAGTTCGTAACAGAATTCCAAAGATGTTTTTCGATTTTTGTGGCCGTCGGTGGTGGTTGAATAAACCGGGAGTTTTACCCTGTGTGTCTCTAAGTGCTGCCTGGAGATCAGCGTGCAGAAATGCAGACGTTCAAGTTCACATGCATGAAATTGGGCAGCGTGTTTGCTCTTGAGCTGAGCATAGATTATTGTGTATTCTCATTGTAGGTGGGATCTTGGTTTTCTAAATCAACATGCTATTGTCATGCAGTTCTAAGGTCCTCGAATTCCATTTGTTCAGATAAAATGAACACACAAAATTCACAGCTAAGATTGACATTTTGTCAGTTCTGAAGACCTCAGTTGATGTTGGTACAGCCTGGGTCAGAAAAAATACTGTGGCTTTTGTAGCAGGGTATATCTCTTCTAATTAAGAACATCCACAAGTATATTAAAAGTATGACAGTCTGCAAATGTTCTGTGGTCTTTGCACCTCCAGCTCTGTAACTGTACTTGAATTCTGTTGAGCTATCGCAGGCCTAGTAGATGAAGGATAAGTGAGAGAAAGGTTGTAAGGAGAGAGAGTAACTTTTGAAACACCAGTTAATGTCTGAGACAGAGACAAGATTTTGGGGCATACAAACTTTTCTTCCATTGTAAAATAGAATGCTTTGAAGGTATGCAGCCCTCCACACTGATTAACCACCATTTACAGTAAGTGTCTGAAAAGGACAGTACCTCATGTGCCAAAAAGCGGGAATGGCACAGAGTTAATGGGATTTCTGTGTGCGAGATGGCAGTAGCAGGCCAGTTCTGTGTTTTTAATCCGTTGCCTCCTGTGTCCCTTGTTCTTGTTCTTTCACATTTAGAAAGAACAAACTTTCTGGTAGGCTGAGAATTCCTGCGTGGGGCATGACTACAGTCCCATAGCTCTAACGGAGTCTAACACAGCGCGTTGCCAATCCCATCCTCCTAATGAAGGCTACTGACCTTGTCCTTCCTGTCATGGTGTTTCATGCTGTTTAACATACTGTAGCTTGAGGAAGAGGGGGGCATGCTGGAGACGGAACATGAATGTTACTTACAGTAACCACAGACCATGTTGCATTTTTAAAGCTTTTATTTCTTCTTAATGCAAATTTACCTCTTTAGTTCCATTTTGAGTCACATTTCTTTCAACCTGTTAGACTGCAGTAATATCTGCATGTGATGTCAGTGGACAAATACGGATCTAAAGGCAGAACTCCTATTCCAAGTGTAATCCTGTGCTTCCCTCGGCTCGTGACTTGGGTGGATGCCCTGATTTGTATGGGAAATGTCTATTGGGAGCTGAACAGGAGAAAAGCTGCCGGCATTTTTGTTCATTTGTTAGAAGGGAAATCTGGTTTTAGTCAAATCCCATTTGGAAGTTCATGAATATCTAATATTTTTTTTTCTTATAAGGCAAAGGTGCCTTTAAAAGTTGGTCACCGTGGTGTCTTCCGGCATATGAGCCTCATGTGCCCAAGGTGCAGTGTCTGTCATTACCACCCTGCTCCGCGGGGGGTGACAGAGCCCGGGCAAGTTCTCATGGTGCGACGTAGACATGCGGCACAACCCAGTCCTCGCTGTTCACCGCACGCGTTGGTGCCTGACGCGTGGTGGGAGGCTGCGTTTGGGCGGCGCGAGGCTCCGTGCCGGTCGTGCGACGGATGCCTGCCCGGCTGGGCAGCAGGCTGAGGGCCAGGGTGTTCTGGTGAAAGGCAGGAGGTGCGGGCTGCTGTGACGGTTCCACCAGCACAAAACTTGGTCCGTTTTCACATGTGAGCCTCTCTTGAGAAGCGAGGAGAGAGTGTAGGTGGCAGAAATGTCATGGTTAACTCTGTTCAGCCAAAAATCAGATGCTTTTGGCATGGGTTTTCTTGGACAACATGCTGCCAAGCTGCAATTGCAATGCTACGGTTGAAGAACAGACAATATTGCAGGCTAGATCTGATTTTTATTGTCTTCTATAAATTGTCTGTCTTTCAGTGAGGGGAAAAAAAAAAGCTCATGCATGTGTTTTAAGGTGGCATAATCTGTTCTCTCTGTGAGGTTCTTGGCTCTTAACAGAGTAAACTTACGTATGATTGGTGTGTTGTTTTTCTGTTTTTTCTTTAACGGTTCCCAAAGCAATGCCATAAGTCTCAGGTAAAGTGGATCGAATCAGTGTCCGTGGTTTTGAATAGTTCTTGTGTTCATTTTCTTTACAGCACTTGACCATGTTGGGTTTTTTCCTGCAGCAGAGGAGAACCCCTAACAGCCCCCCACGTACCAAATTGTAGCGTGTACACCGCACTTTTGGCATGCCAGCAATAATAGCACAGATTGCAAGAACTGCATGTTAACTCGGGGGAACCTGAAAGGAGCCATCTAAGGAGGAGTGTTCTCTATACCTAAACTGCTGGAATTACTATTTTAACCTTTATTTTCCCTCTGAGGTGGATGTTGTTATGCTCTACATTACTGCTAAGCAGTAGAGAGCATTGAATCAGCTTTGCAAAACGTAGATTTCCTTCCTTTGTAACAGACTTTTGAATTCGTCTTTGTAGGATGAAAACATATCCTCCTTTTGGTAAGGACTCTCAAAATCGGCACATGCGTTACAAATGTGATCGAGTGCTCCGTGCCCCAGAACCTTTGTTTGCACCGTTACTGTGTTATTAGGTGTCAGGAAACACTGCAGAAAGTGCAGTAAAAGTACTCACAGTTTATAATGAGGAGTTTGGAAAATAGTTGTCATTTTGCTTCACTGGGTTTTGGTCGGCGTTTGTTGTTTTGGTTTTTTTTTTTTTTTTTGAAAGTACAATTGTGAAAACAAAATTTGGGCTAATTTTCGTATTTTCTTCTCTTTTAGCTCATGATAGATACCCCTACCAGTCCTATCACCAGTGGATTGCCATTATTCTTTGTCATAACTGTGACAGCCATAAAACAGGTAAAGGGAAAAAATCTTGTAGCATGAAGTCTTTCTAAGGTAATGTTACTTAACGAAGTCTGACCAAGGTAATCTTGTTTTTTTTTTTGGTTTTTTTTTTTTTTTTTTGAAAGTACAATTGTGAAAACAAAATTTGGGCTAATTTTCGTATTTTCTTCTCTTTTAGCTCATGATAGATACCCCTACCAGTCCTATCACCAGTGGATTGCCATTATTCTTTGTCATAACTGTGACAGCCATAAAACAGGTAAAGGGAAAAAATCTTGTAGCATGAAGTCTTTCTAAGGTAATGTTACTTAACGAAGTCTGACCAAGGTAATCTTGAGATACTAAAAACAAATTAAAAAGGTGTAGTTTTTAGAAAGGATTTTGTATTTAATGTTTCTGTTAGACACTCAAGCATTTTGGTTAGTTGTCAAGTGCTCAGTGACTCCCTGTGGTGCCCGTAAATGGACAGTGAATGGCTGTCAGGCAGAATTTTTGTCCAAACATTACGTGTCACTTGCTGTAAGACCTTTTCTGAAGGCTCCTCACTTATTCCTTTGGCACATCTTGCTGCATGTTAAAACCAACCCTCCCACGTGACACGCGGAGAAAGGAGCTTGGGTAGATGAAGCAATGGTGCGATCTGTGTTTGTCAGTAGTTAGAAGGCAAATTTTGCCCCAAGGAGTGTGGTTTATGGCGTAAAATAGATATTAACTGTAAATCCTGTACCAGGCAAAAGGTCCAGTTTAGAAAGCTTCTGATTCTGTTTTCTTTTTCTTTGGTTGCATGAAACATTTTGGAGTGCTTTATAGTGCTTTAAATGAGAAAAGTCTTCTGAGTTTAATAGAAATATTGTTCAAGCATCATAGTACATCCTACTGAGACCTAGAGCCCTGGAAGGAGAATGCTAAAAAAAAAAAAAATTACCGATTTCCTTTAAAAGCTTAAAGTGAGAGGAGAAAGAAACAGGCACATAAATAAAGAGGTGATGTGGGTAGAAACTGTAATCTATTCTGCAGGGAGGTAATTTTCAGGAACTGTCCCCTTCAAAGGGTTTGACAGGGCTGTCTGGGGAAGAGCCGCAGTCGTAGCAACTGAAAAGAAAGGAGGCTGCTGTGGCGCTATAGCTGGAATTCCAATTTGCCTTCTGTGCCAGTGAGACCCGAAGCCACCCCGGAACAGGGCAAAAGCAAAAATAGCTCTGGCTTTCAGGTGGATAGAATGGTGTTTGGGGCAGAGGGGATCTTAATGCTGGAGTAATATTTGAACTAACGTTTCATCTTGTTGTTGTGCAATTTGTATATGTTAGAGTGCCCTAATCCTATTCAACTGCAGTTGTTATAATCACTCCAAAAAAATCACATGTTCAAGAGCTGTAGTCATAAGTAGGCAGTGGAAAATATCCCTTAAAGCTGTGTGAACAGAAGGAGATTGTGCAACTGAATTATAAATATTGGATTTTTTTGTTCCAGAAAGAAATGGGACTTGATTGTGTAAGTCTAGAACAGTCCAAATAATCTATTACCACCTTGTTTCCAGATGTCCAGTCTTGGGAAATTTAAGTCTCTTACCATCAATTGCAAAGAACTGAGATTCTGGCATTCCTTCTGGAAGGATATGCCAAGCATGAAGAGTTTTTCTGATTGTCCCAGTATCTCTGCAAGGACCATTGGAACCACCTAAGCTGGTCTAATGGACTCCTAGATTTATCCTACCTGCTGCAAAGTAGGCAAAGAGTATTCACGAGCTGTTAGCCTGGGAAGGCAATTCAGCGTGCTATTTCCAACAGGCTGCCCTTGGATAAGTGGGAAAGAAATCTTCTGTTGGAATGCAGAGGGGAAAATACCCAGTATGGTCTCAAAACCAGCTCCCATTTTCTCTCAAACCGGAAGGGGAATAGGAAGCAGATTTTAGGGGAAGAAACCCCTTTTGAAAGCTGCAGGGCCCTGGTTCTGTACAGTTTACATCGGGGTAAAGGTTAGACTGTAACTTGGTGGTCTCTCAAAAGATGAAGGGGAAAAATAGAAGCATTAACCATGTGCAGGTTCGAGAAGCTTAGCAGTGTGTAGAAAATCTTTCCCCTGCTTCCAGACAGCCAGGTAACATGGCACCTCTAGCAAACCCCAAACTCAGTCTTACTTTAATCTCAGCCAAGGAGATGGAACTTTTTCTTCTTGGAAGTGCAACTGCGCCTAGGTCAGAAGAAGGACGTACAAGGCTGCAAAGTGATGCAACTCATGCTGTGTCATTTTCTCTGTCTTGTTAGCCAGGGCACTTTCCTCCTCGTGCCCGTGAAGATGTGTATCCAGTCCTCAGAGGAGTCCAAAATTAGAAAATAGAATAAATAAAAACAAAACAAAAAGTTAAAAAAACCCCAAACAAAATACAACACAATAAAGGTATTTCCTCAGGAACTTTAAGGACTTTAGTCCTTTTCCATAAGTTCTTAGGTATTTAGCAAACAAGCTGGTTGGACACAGATGTCAGGCAAATTAGAAATAACTACTTTGCAGGTTTTGATTAATTATAGACTTAAACTGAGAATGAAAGACCTGCTACTGGCATATGCAAGCCTGTTTTAATTTTGTCTGTTCCTCAAGTACGTCGATGCAGTTATTTAAGCACGACTTAAGAATATAACTTAATTGAGGGATTTTAATCTTTAGTTTCTGTTCATGCAATTAAGCAGCATTCCCTGTATTCCTATTGCATCTTTCTTTTTTCACCATATTTTTGCAGTATGCGCAAGTGAGGATAAGGAAGTCTCTCAAAAATGCCGCAGTGGGTAGATTTTGGGGGGAATTTAACCTGGCCACAGTGAGGTGGTTCTCAGGAACCCCCTGGTGGTGGAGGCAGTAGGTGTCAGGTGGGGGAGGCGCTGGAACCGGTGCTTTCCAAAAAGGCACATCTCAGCTCTCTGCCAAACGACCGCATTGCTCAGCTGTTGGGTTTCCAAGGCACATGCCCCAAGGTTACTGGATGATGGTTAAATCCTGGCTGCCTTTGGTCAGTCACCTTGAACGAAGAGCTGCAGGTGCTGACTCCTGATGCTTTTCCATACTGATGAGGAAGTGCTCTTGGAGAAGACTTGGGGGCTTTAGGACTCTGATTTTCCAGTGTGTCTCTGTCTGGCTGCTGTTACTGCACACTTATTAATTATTTGGTTTTAAGCCATTGGCATACAAAGCTTCCCTCTTTCCTTTCCTTTTGTTTTCCCCCTAGGTAGCGCCGTCGTGCTGTCCTCACTCATTTGTGCTAGTTACAGCAGAGGTGTGTGAAGGTAGAACTGCAAAACTCTAACTGTAACATGCCAAATTCATCTCATAACTTTCCTCTAAACTCCAGCCAACCGCAGAATTCTCCAAACTACCGCTGCATTTGTACTCTTTGTATTATCCACACACAGTGTCTGTAGCACTCTACGATGGTTTGGGATTATGCCTGCTGTTTCAGAGGGCCCCCTTCTTCTGCCTGCAAACTTCCAAGGAAGTGGTTTTAACTCTCACATTTTTTTTCTTTTTTTTTTTCAAATACCTACAGAAAAGCATTTTAGGAGATGTCTCTCTTACTGCAAATCAGCTGAAGGAGCCTTGCCAGGACAGGAGAGGCACTTGAACTTCTGCATAGACTGATCCATTCCTTGTGCTTGCTCCTTTCCAAACAGTACCTAGGCTTGGGATCAGAGATCATGCTGTTGGCAGTCATGCTCTTGCAATGTATTCCTAGGAAAATAGAAGGGGAATAATAGACCTGGATTCACTCTCAGGAATATTTGCACATGTGTGCATGGGATAAAGGGCGCTTAAAGAGGTGCTGAATATCGGGTAAAGGAAAGCTGCTTAATTTATTCATTAAACTCAGTTGCTGTGCACTCTTGAATTACGACTCAAAGAACTAAAACTTTCTCAGTCATCTTTTCTTGCTGTGCAGAGCTGGTGTGTGAACAGCCTCTCGTACAAAACTGAGAAATCTTAAGATTTCGCGAATAGGCTATGGCAGGAACTGTAAGAAGTGCTGTGTGGTGTGACATGAGGAAGAAATTTCAGACCGTTACTTCTCTTTAAAAAGAAAAAATCCGTAAGAGAGACCGGGAGGGGCTGTTCCCAGTTTCGTGGTGTGTCAATCCATGTAGATGAAAGATTGAATGAGCGCTTGTTCGTCTTGCCTACGGAAAACATCACTGCCTGTTTTAACAGAACACGGGACTGTTAAGTTTCTTCACCACTTTTGCTACTTTATTTGCCTTCACTTATCTGTGTACAGTGAGTAAAAAATTACGAGGTTTCCCAAGTTCTTGAGTACCAGCTGTAGTGGAAACTCAAGGGAAGTTGTTAATCATATTCAGGCTATGCAGCAAATCATTTGAAGCACATTTGCTCAGGAGATATTTGCTATGTGTACAGGTTTCTTGCTTAAGAATTAAATTTGTTTGTGTTCTCCGCAGGGTTACGAAGACTGGCTACGCCATAAAGCAGACAATGAAGTAAACGGTGCTCCTGTTTATGTTGTTCGAAGTGGTGGCCTTGTAAAAACTAGATCTAAAAACATTCGGGTATGTGCCCAAGGACAAACTGAAAATTGCGTTTCTGTTGCATAGCTAAAGCTCTTTGTTCATTACTAATCATCGTGGCCTGTGTCATCATGATTCGGTAATAATGCTGAAATTCGTTTGTGTGCACTTCATTAGGTGGGGGACATCGTCAGAGTAGCCAAAGATGAGACTTTTCCCGTTGACCTGGTGCTTCTGTCATCTGATCGAGTCGATGGATCATGCCATGTTACTACCGCAAGCTTGGATGGAGAGACCAATCTTAAGGTCTGGGTTGCTGCTGTGAAATGCGATGTAGTTAATTTGCGGTGCCATTTTATTTCAGCCCATTGGAGTGCCCCCGCCCCCTGCCCTGTGCTCCGGTGTCGTTAACTTCATGGACACTGTTTTACAGACACACGTTGCAGTCCCAGAAACAGCAGTGTTGCAGTCCGTTGCCAACCTGGACAAGCTTGTAGCTGTCATAGAATGTCAGCAGCCAGAAGCAGATCTATACAGGTATCGCTTTTTTAGTGAATATTTTGAAATTAAATCAGAATTAAGTTTTTAATGTTAGTAAGGTTATGCGTCTTGCTGGAATTAAAATGGCTTACATTTTAGGTTTTGATAATTAGCATAAGTGTTTATACATCTGTACTTACTAAAAGTTGCAAGTGACAGGTTAAATTTGAGTATTTCAGTAGTAAATCAGAAATTATAGGATAATATTTATCTTTTGTATTTTAATCGTGACACTTGGGTATATTTCTGTTCTAACCAGTAAACTTGTTTCCAGATTTTAAAGAATTAAGTGGCCCATGAGTCTGAGCAGGTTGGAGAAAGAGTTGTACAGGGTTCTGCCAGGAGACTTCAGTACTATATAGTATTTTTTTTTAATGGAATTAACTCAAACCGTAGCAAATAGTTGTAAGCTGATGTTAATTCTAAGGGTATGCGCTGGTCACGGTTGTTTTTTCTTATGCTCAAGAGAAGATTTGAACTCTGTTCTTCAGCAGCAAAAATTTAGATTAAAGCCAGTTGTATCCGAGTGTACTTCTAACATCAGCAAGCAGTGCCCTAGACGCTGTAACAAACAGCGCCGTGGGTGACACAAGTAATATTCCTGGCCACGTTTCTCCTGAATGGTGTCATGGAAGGTGGTAGCTGTCCAGCAGTAGTTTTCAAAACCCAAGTGTATCACAGCATTGGGATCTTTGAGAAGTACTAAATTCTTAAAAACTAAGAGACTTGGTTTGAACTGCTGTCCAGGCACTTGGTCTGCAGCTCAGTTCGTGGAGAGCATCAAGCTAAGGGACCATCCCTGTAGAAGTACATGTCCCTGTTTGCAGCTGCGGCCGTGCTAAATGTGCAGGTGTCAGATGTTAAAAGCAGAGTAGATTGGCTTTATTAAATGCAAAATTATATTTCTGATGGGTAATATGCTGACTTGTATTTGTTGAGGAATTATTCCTTACTGAAACATCAAGAAGTTGCAATCTGTTTTAACTGCGTAAGAAATACAATCTTTTGTGGTTTTGTTAATAAACCTAATGGGCTTTCCCAAAGGACTGCTCCTTCAGAGGGTAACTGTGCCTGTTGTTAAATATCTCGTGTAAAACTATTGCCAGTGTTGCCATATTGGTTTAGTTTGGTTGTTAATGGAAGTTGAGTGTTTTGTATCTGTGAACCCTTAGTGACTGTTTTGGAAATGTAGAGGAGTTTTTATGTTTTTTGAGTCGTTACGTAGACACTTCTAACACGTGGCCATCTTCCGTAGGTTTGTTGGAAGAATAACTATAAGTCAACAAACTGAAGAAATCGTACGGTAAGTAAAATTTAGTAAGATTGATGTTGAGAACTGATGGAGGTGGTTAAAACATGACCATCACAGAAAGGACTTGGTGTCGGATATACGGAAGGGAGGGGCTTTTTTACTGGAAGCGCCAGTTGTAGCTGCACCTTCAGATGGAGATGAGAAAAAGTCAGTGAAAGAAAGTTCATTGCTACCCAGTCTTTCAGATTTACTAGGACAGTTCTAGAAAGCATGGCTGTTCTGAAGGGGGTGATTTTTAGGCACTGGTAATCAGCTGGTAGCTTTGTTGCTATTTGCCATTTAAAACATCCATTGATTTTGAACATTTTCCAGCAGCATATTTTGTAGACTACAACAGATCCCCCGTTACCTGTTTATCAGAGGCACGGAGCGGGTGTTTCTACTGTTGAAATTCCTGGAAATGATCGGTCTGCTTTGTCAAAGCCTTTGCTACAAGTTGCAGCTCTTAGTGTGTATTTCAGACTGCTGTCCTACCTGGGCTGTGAAAAGAAGTGCCTACATCTGTAGCGGTCAACACGCGAGCGTGTGCACATAAAGCCGTGTGGGCACGACCACGTGCTCGCCGCCTGTCCCTGTGCGGTCGTAGCAAGGAGCATACACCTAAACACGTGCCAAAACACACAAATAAAGGCGTGAAGCCACTTACAGACCTTCACGTGGACTTCCTCAGAAGATTGCTGACTGCGGTGGGTGGGCCCCAGCTAGCAGCCAGGCGTCACCCTCGCAGTGGCTCATCCACTTCCCACCACCACAACAGGACAGGAGAGAAATTGGAAGGGCAGGGGTGAGAAAGGTCAGGGTTTGAAATAAAGACAGGGAAATCGCTCACCAGAAATGGCCAGATTCTAGGGATGTTTAGCATGCCAATTATTTAATTGTTTTCTCTTGAGGGTTGTTGATAATCAAGCTTTCAAAAAACTTGGTCACCTCTTCTCAAAATGAAGTGCTGTGTTCTGGTGTGTAAATGTGCCCCAGAGACAGGTAATCCTGCTCTGATTTTCTGACCCTTCTAATATCCAAAATGTTCTCCCTTACACATTATTTTTAGTGCAATTTCTACCTGAATCCAATACTGAGGCGGTATTCTTTTCCATGTGATGTGTGCCTTCAGTCTGACGAACTGAACGTCTGTCAACCCGAGAGCCGCCTGCGAGGCTGGCAGACATCTGTCAGTTTTAGGCAGGAGTTCAGAGCCATCGATGATTTGTCGGTGATGTTGCAAGAAATATGGGGATGTGGAAGGCAGGTCACCAGGCCCCAATTCCAATGCTTCCCCACAAAAAAACCCCACACAAACCCTCCCAAAAACCTACTTGGCTGTTTTCTAAGGCCGCTTTATGTGCTCCGTCACTTAGAGCTTTTCAGAATTCATTGCGGCCAAGCTTGAAGGTTCAGCTTTGGGATAATCTGTCAAAATAATTTAGCTGACAACATATAACAGAGCCAGTTTAAAGGGAGTGTGAAAAGTAGTGGCAGGTTGTGACTGCTGGTGGCGCTGTATCTCCTGTCTGGAGATGATAAACTGAATCCTGACTGTCAAGGATAAACTGGTCTAGTCCTTGGTGCGCTGACTCAGGTTTTGTGGTTTGGGATTGTCAGACTGCGTTTACAAACTGCAAAACCCACTCGAATCCAGAAATACACACTAGGTCTCTGACAGGCAGAGGTTAAATGCCTGAGCATTTAGTCCCTTTTAGCTCAATATTTCAGTTCAAGTTTGAGCCTAATACAGTGCAATGTAACGAACATATACTCCCTGTGTAGAGTTGTGCACGTGGTATTTGTGGTGGTGACTGTCACATTTGCAGTAACACTTAGTTCAGTGCTGGAGTGGGGGGTTGGGGTTTTGGTTTTTTAGCAGCTCCGGGTTATGCTTTCAAAGGAGCTTCAAGCCCAAGAGCTTTGTTGTTGTAGTGGTGGTCATGGCCTGCTGGTGGTACAGGTAATGGAGACGGAAGGCGAGCGCAGGGCGTGTGTGCCGCAGCGGGGTGTATGGTCTTGAACTCTTCTGCTCATACCCAGTATCTCAGCCTGGCCGCTGCGGCCGTTCAGTTTTTGCTTTCATTTGAAACACTGGCAAAAATAGCGAATGTGATTTTATTTTTTGTTATTCCAAACCAACCCTGCTGGCAGTTTCTAAAGGTGATACAGCCGCGGGATAGGACATGCAGCCCTAACCTTACATGAACCTTGGTTCCAACTGGACCTTTATTTTCACAGCGCTGTTTATGGTTAGCTCTGCCAATTAAATTGATGTATGGTTGTGGTCTGATAGATGGGAGGAAAAAACGTTTATGAAATTTTACTCTTGTGTTAGGAAGCAGAACTTGCACTGCTGTGGTGGTGGCATGTCCATCTAGTTCATCTGTGTTCCTCTGGTCTGGATAGCTTTTGAGCTTCTAGATCATTTCAGTCTGACAGAGGGGTAGACATAGGGTCGGTAAAATAGCCAAACCCTCAACAGCACTCCGGCTGCCCTCTGAACTCGGCAGGGCTTTTGCCTGCTGCCTTCTCGGGTAACTTGCAGGTGTCTCTGAACCGGCCGTTTGATTTATTTAGCTCAGTCACTAATTCCAGGCTATTGAACAGTGGTGGGAGGGTATGGCAGTGACAGCGGAGACACAGAGGGAAGCGGAGAGCTCCGTGGAGGTGTGTGAGGTGTGGTGAAAGGGGCAAGCGGGCTGAAGGTGGGCCGAAGTGAGAGCGGGGTTGGAGTTGTTGCGGTGGGAATTCGTAGGGAATATAGGGCAACTCTGCACGGGGAAACTGGATTTCACTGGTCCTACAGAATAACTCATTTTTAAATGCTGATATGTCTATTTCTTTTTAGACCTCTTGGGCCTGAAAGTCTCTTACTTCGTGGAGCAAGATTAAAAAACACTAAAGAAATATTTGGTTTGTAGACATCTAAATATTTAAAGAGTATTCTGTTCTTAAAACATGTTGATGAACTGTGGTTTAATTGTACTTACACTGAAGAAATGTAATAATCTTGCTGACTGTTACCTGAGGGGATATGGTTATAGATGAAAGTAATGATGTGCTGAAGAATCTCTAAGGATATAAAGTTCCAGCTCTGCTCTGAAAATATCTGAAGTGGTTTGATGAAGGAATAACTTAAATGCAGTGGATAAATGCCTGTTGTTACTGTCACCCATTGTTCAAGACTTTCTCCTGAGATTTACCGTTCAGATTTCCATAAAGTGCACACTGAGGAGCAGTGCAGTCGTAATGATTAACAGCGTTTTAGCAAGTGTTAAAATCACTTTGGTAGTACTGTTGTATTATAGCAGAATATTGCAAACACTTGCAAAATACTGTCTCACCATTGTACTGAAGTAAACACAAAAGCAATATCACCTCTTGATTTTATCCTGTGTCCCTTAAAATGAAAAAAAATCTGCAAACTGTGTATATGCAGAAAATAAAACATAACTCTTTGTTCCCCCCCTTCCTTCCCAGGTGTTGCAGTGTATACAGGTATGGAGACAAAGATGGCATTAAATTACAAGAGTAAATCTCAGAAACGGTCAGCAGTAGAAAAGTATGTTTATTTTCTAATATCTTTCATGTTTGTAGAGTTGTAACTTAGTTTTTCCTCGGTAGCTTTAAAGCCCCGAAGATCCCGTCGTTGGGTTGTAGGCAAGGGAAGAGAGGATAAAATCTGTTTCTTGATGTTTCATCCTTTATTGATTCTTTCAGTAGTGTGCGAAGTTGAAATACCCAAGCTTAGAAAGGACCAAAGCAGAAGTTGGTTCAGGAGGTTTATTTTTGGGATGTGGAGCTCGTTTAATGATAGGTGAAATGCTGCTGGAACCAGATGCTCAGAGATGGTTTTCACAACAGTCTCAGCCTCTGCTGTTCTGTGCATCCTTTACTGTAAAACTGCACCATGCCTTCAAAGAGGACGGGCTGAATGGAAGTCTTAATCACTTACAAATCTTTGTCCCGAGTCTAGTATTTGATATAATGGGGAATAGCTTTGTTTCACATGGTCTAAAGGATGTAGTCTACCCAGATGTGTGTTGCAATGAATTTTGCTTCTAGCACAAGTCGCAGCCTCAGTTTTTAAAACAAATCTTTGTTTGTAGTTGTGGGGTAGGTGTCACTATAATAGAGATTTACAATGTTGAACCTTGTGAATTGTTTTAGAAGGAAAAGGAGTTCTGATACGCTGCCTCTATTCCAGTCACTAAAAGTCTGAGGTAGCCTCCGGGCATGTTTTTGCAAACATGGGATCGATTATTTTCTATAGCCAGATACAAAAGGCACTCTAGAGTGCACAAGAAAAGTTCAGTGATCAAAGCAAGGGGTGGAAGATGGTCTGGCTAGCATTACGGAATAGAGAGGCAAGCTTGAGGCAAGCTTGACCGTATCCTGGTATAGCACGGCCTGGGTTAGGTCATCAGGTGCACATGGTGGTGCCCTTCCAACTGAAGAAAAGGGCGCAGCCTTGGATTTCTGCTATGGTGGGCTGTACTGCCTTCACGGTCTTGTTAGATACTCAGTGACGAAGAGAAGGATAAATCGGCCCCCGGAATCTTGGACAAGAGGTGTGACCCAAGGCAGCTGCTGGGGTGTTCTTGCACCTGAGGCTATTCTTCATATTGCTGCATGTCGAGGGTATCTTAGTCAGGTGCAGGATTTATTTTCGTATCTGTTGCCTGCTTGTCCCATAGAAACTTTATATCCATAGCAAACACAGGATACATTTAAAAAAAAAAATTGTCCAATAAGTTTTTGATCAATTCATGTAACCACAGTGTGGGCACAAATTAAGTAAAATAAACTGAAGTTGCTTTTTTTCCCCCTCTTTTTAGGTCCATGAATTCCTTTTTGATCATTTACCTAATGATCCTCCTCTTTGAAGCCATTCTGAGCACTATTTTAAAGTATGCATGGCAAGCTGAAGAAAAATGGGATGAGCCGTGGTATAATGAAAAAACAGAGCATGAAAGAAACAGCAGTAAGGTAAGGTGTGCGCATCGAGGAGCCCTCGACCACTGTGTGCTGAGTGTGGTATTTATTGTGTCTCTACTCTTGCATGTAGGCGTGTATGCCACATGATCCACTTGCAGCTCTGTGTGCTGTTCTCTCAGTATTTTTGAGATAGTCCTATGTAGCCTCACCCTTGTGTAGAAATACCTTACCTCTTGTTACTGGTTGGACTTTCCTTCCTATATGAAAAGACCAAGCTTTTTGAAAATGTTGGGTTTTGTTAGGACATAGAATGTTTTGGGTTGGAGGGTACCTTTAGAGGTCACCCAGCCCAACCCCCCTGCAGGAGCAGGGACACCTTGAACCACATCAGGTTGCTCACAGCCCCGTCCAACCTGGCCTGGAATGGTCCCAGGGATGGGGCCTCCACTACCTCTCTGGGCAACCTGTTCCAGTGTTTTACCACCCTCACTGTAAAGAATTTCTTCCTTAGATCCAGTCTAAACCTCCCCTGCTTCAGTTTAAAACCATCCCCCCTTGTCCTGTCCCAGCTGGCCCTCCTAAAAAGCTTGTCCCCCCCTTTCCTCTGGGCCCCCTTGAAGCCCTGACCGGCCGCACTCAGCTCTGCCCACAGCCTTCTCTTCTCCAGGCTGAACACCCCCAACTCTCCCAGCCTGGCCTCAGAGCAGAGGGGCTCCAGCCCTCGGAGCATTTCTGTAGCCCTCCTCTGGCCCCGCTCCAACATATTTCTGATGTTATGTGTTCTTATTATAGTTACTGTTCTTTTGGGTGTCTTTTGTCATTCCTTAAATGAAAGGAGGAGGAGGAGGGCTGCTGTTGTGCATGTTCTGCTGCAGTGATTTCACAGCTCAGGCATTCTGGGCATTCTCTGATGCTGAGATTGTTCAGACAATTTTGTAAGGCTGTGATTTTGCTCAAGCTCCTGTTCGCCTTCTCACTGTTCTGTAGAGATTGGAGGGATACTTTGAACTGTTCCTGAAGTCTGCAGTTCTGATAAGTGTTGGTTTGCGGTGTTGGGGTGTTTTTTAATAATTGTGTGTTTTCTGTGTCCTGTTTAATTTTCTAACACACGCACCTCCACACCCGTCTCCCAGAGAATTGAGAATTGAATGTGCTCACTGGGTGCCGTGTGTGCAGAAAGGTCCGAATCCCAAGTCGGGAGCGTTCTGTTTGGCTTCACAAGCAGAGTGAAATACGCCGTGGTTCAGGAAGGAGAAGTTGTTTGAGAATGTCTGATCCAAGGGCAGCTGAGAGTTCACTGGCATTTCAGTAGAACATGCAGCCTTGAGAGGCTTGTCATGTGAAGTGGTTTTGTGGTTTAACTGGAAAAGCATCTTTATCCCAATGCTGTGTTTTATTTAAAATTATTAATTCAGGTTATCGCTACAGTTATCACAAACTTGTCCATGTATTCTAAAATACTCTTGTCTAAAAGTCTGGCTGGTGACAGTACTTAATGAATTTAAAAGTTTACAGATTTAGTGACTTTTATATTTAGTACCTGCACCCCCTTAGCGCACTTTGAACTGTTTGAAGTGGTCAGTCAAATAAATTCTTGGCTCCTCTCAATGTGCAGTGGTTGCTCTGTCGTTGGACTAGCCCGTGGAGCCCCGTCAGTTCCAAACAGAATCAGGAGAAGTATTCACTCAGCCTCCCTGTTCTTTACCTTTGCCTCAGGAGCACACAGAGCCGTCTGTCTGTCTGCAGTGCCGCTCCCCTTCTGTCCTGTCTGTGTTTTTCTCTCTCCCTTGTTTACTTCTGCTTTGCATTTCTCTACACGCCAACATCCTTACCTGGGGTGCGTTCCTGGTTCACCTGCCCTGCCTTGCGCAGGTGGATTGCTGTTCAACAGGCAGTGCTCGAGGAGACCCGCCAACCTTAGCAACTGGCACTTCTCACTGGCGCCTCTCTGGCATGAGCTACTGCTCTCAGTCTTTGTCTCTTCTGCTTCAGTTTGGAAGATCTCTTAAGGCACAGAACTTCCTGAGCTTTTGTCAGACACTGCAGTTACTGGTGCTGACTTTCGGGGAATATCAGTCATTTGCCCTCGCCACTTACGGCTCCTTAGAGGCGCCTATGAATGGTGCGGTCTGATGGAATGGGGGATGCATCGGTCTTTTCAGACCCAGCTCTTCCAGGAGACCTGTTGGCAAGCAGAATCACCAGGGAAGTCAATATTAATTGGCAGCCCTCCTGACAGGTTCAGTGGAAAGGACAAAAATTAATGAACTTGAGAACGGAACACCCAGTCAGAGCTTCAGGCAGCCTTTCTGCATCAGTCTGAGGGCGTGTTACTGGGGCAACTGGAAATGCCTGCAGCGTCGCTGGGTGTGTTGTCTCGCTCCTGCGCGTGGGACGCGGTCTCCTCCGGCTCTGTCAGTCTGTCATTTTTCATGCATATTGAAACATAACTCAGTAACCACGTTTCGCCTGATCGCTGCAGTAATCTTTACATATTCTCTTTTTCTCTTGTAGATTCTGAGATTTATTTCAGATTTTCTTGCTTTTCTGGTACTTTACAATTTTATTATACCTATTTCACTTTATGTGACTGTTGAGATGCAGAAGTTTCTTGGATCTTTTTTTATCGGCTGGGATCTTGACCTCTATCACGAAGAAACAAACCAGAGAGCACAAGTGAATACTTCAGACCTCAATGAAGAATTGGGACAGGTAGAGTAAAAAATACATTGTCTCTTTTTTTCCCTTCTATTTTCTACTACTTTTTTAATATTAAAATTCATTACTGCAGACTTTATTGGTTGCACTTTGATTTCTGATTAATGTAAAAATAAGGTTTAGATGTCTGATGACAGAAATTAAAATTTTTACATGATGAAAAAAGGTGTGTAATGGAGAAGGGAGGGTTGAGTTGGGCTTTTTCTTTCTTCTAACAAATACATGCAACTCCAAGTCTGGTTTTTGTTTTATTTTATGAAAGGTAGAGTATGTGTTTACAGACAAAACCGGTACATTAACTGAAAATGAGATGCAGTTTCGGGAGTGCTCCATTAATGGCATAAAGTACCAAGAGGTCAACGGTAAACTAACTCCGGAGGGGTTCTCTGAAGATTCTCCAGATGGAAACAGGCATAGTTTGGTAAGATTTTCTCTCCCCCCCCGCCCCCCATTCCTAGATAGTGTTTTATTTCAGAGCAAGGTTCTTCTAGCGTTAGCATTTTTTTAAAAAAATCAGAATTTCTGAATAGATTAAAGCTATTAAGTGTTGCTGAGAAAATAGTATTTATTAAACATGTTGAGATGTGATTATTTAACATGGAATACTTGGCAGGTTTTTAAGTAAAAATGTATTTTTATTAAGTATGTTCAAAACTGGGCTGATATGCAAATGTTACAAATGAAGTTTTCTCTTTCTTGTAGATGAAAGAGGAAGAACTCTTCTTGAAAGCCGTTTGTCTTTGTCATACAGTGCAGATCAATGCAGATCAAACAGATGGCGCTGATGGTCCCTGGCTTGCCAATGGAATAGCATCCCCACTGGAGTATTACGCTTCTTCACCAGATGAGAAAGCTTTAGTTGAAGCTGCAAGCCGGTGAGTTGTACTGCCCAAACCATCTCACGTCGAAGCTGCCTGCTAGGGCAGGCAATTCGTGGTGAAAGCAACCTTAAAGATTGGTGGGAACGGCTGTAAAGCCCAGGGCCTGGCACTGTCAGTTCACTATGGAAACACACAAAAACCTAAGGCATATATAAAGTGGTGATTTAAAATATGTATGGAAATCCTTGAGACATTATAGTGGACAGAGTATGTTGCTATTAAAATACTGTAGAAAGTGGGCATTCTTTATTTCCTCTAGAAATAGAGAGCAGTGATGGGGTATAAGGGTCCCTCTCTCTCTTCTTTTCTCCGCCTCGTCCCCCCCCCAAACCAATCAATAGGCATTATGTCTAAAGTGATGATTAAATGCATATTTTTTTTTTCCTTTTAGGGTTGGAGTGGTATTTACTGGAACTAGTGGGGACAGTATGGAAGTCAAAAGTCTTGGGAAACAGGAAAGGTACTCGGTTTTACCCCTTGTTCCTTTTGAAGGACAGAACAGTGGTGAAGGTTAATACGATGTGCTCCTCTTAGTCCTCTCTGTTCATGAGAAAACCTTGCCTTGCCACAGCGTGCTCTTTTTAATGCTTCTCCCTTGATGCCTTCAGGGCAGCTTGCATTTTACTCCTTGCCAGTTGAAACGGAGATGCAAGAACTTTGTGTGACTTACTCTGTGTAGGTGTGTACTTAACAGTTTGTACCTTTGCCCATTCCTCAATGCTTGAGACTGTAGTTGCGTTGGGAGGCTGGGTTGCTCATTCAAGCCTTGCAGTTTGTGCTTTCAGAAGTTCCCAGAATCAGCCTTAGGTATGCATAATCTAATTAGATGTCCTAAGCTTTCCCCAAATGAGTAGAAGTATTATTGATAGCTGTGTGTCTGTGGGATGTCGTAACACCTTTTCTCCATTCGATCTCAGTTAGTTGGCAGTACTTTAAGCTTAAATGTCTAAAACTAACTTTCTAAACCAGTGGTAACATAAAAAACAGTCTAGTTATCAGGGAACGTATACTCTTTTTTTGACCCCCATATATTGTTTAGAAGGATTAGAAATAAAATGTAGTTTTCAAAGTTAGTAGTGGTAGAAGGGTAAAGGAGGGGGTAGGAGCTGATTGTAATCTCCAGATGTGAAAGTAGCGTTCAGGAAACTATTCTTGTTGGTAGAAGAACCTTTTATTCTTATGGAATGGAATTAAATATATATAAAGTGCTGAAAAGCAATCAGTTGCACAAACACCGCTAACAGTGATTGTTGCTCAGCAGTGGTAGCACTGCTTCTAGAGTTTCTATATAAAAATGACATGTTGGGGAAAGCTCGGGGGGGTGTGAGAGTATATTTGTAAGTAAGTGGGAATTTATTTCTAAGAATGTTTTCTTCCCCTTCCCTTTTCTATTAAAACCCAAAATACAGGTATAAATTGCTTCATGTTCTGGAGTTTGATCCGAATCGCAGACGAATGAGTGTCATCGTAGAGAGTCCCTCAGGTAAGCCATCAGAAGGTGCATAAGGCGCCGTTGAGAAATTCCTAAATAGTGTGTGTTCTTAGTTTGTGTTCTATTTTACTTTCTAGGGGAAAAGCTTTTATTCACAAAGGGAGCAGAATCTTCCATTCTTCCTCGTAGTAAGAGTGGAGAAATAGACAAAACGAGGCTACATGTGGATGAATTTGCTTTGGTAAGTGTACGTGCTTGCCCAGCTGATCAGAAGAAAATTCTTCTGGTTCAAATTCTGTGACTTGAAGTGAACAAATTGGGGGTGACACCTTCTTGCTGGATTAGAATCTTGCATACTCTGAATGTAGTCTTTTATTTTCTCACAGAAAGGACTCAGAACTTTGTGCGTAGCCTACAGAAGGTTCACACCTGAGGAATATGAAGAAATTGGCAAACGCCTTCACGAGGCCAGGACTGCCTTACAACAACGGGAAGAAAGATTATCAGATGTATTCAACTTCATAGAAAGGGATCTGGAATTACTTGGGGCTACAGGAGTAGAAGACAAGTATGCAATGGAGTTTCTGCTAACTACGCTCAAAAATATAGCGAGTTCAGGCTTTATAACTGAAATATGATGTGTGCCATGAAAAACTCTCCCGTCATGACTCAAAGTTCTGTTCTTGTTTAGCGTGTTTACTGCTCTTCGGATTGAGCAGCACTCGAAACACGTGTTGTACCAACTGATTTTGGCTTAATGACATACACTGTGCTTCATTGGGAGAGATTCAATGTATGTGAGATGGAGTAACTGCAGTAAATATTTAGGATAACGGCTAATTCCTTGGGAAAGCTTCTATGCATAGCTGCTTAACAAAGCATTCTGCTTCCACAGTATGTCCGTGTGGCAGTCAGAGGGGGCGTTGTACGCTGGAGTGTACTGAGAAGCTTTTCATGTACCACAGTAGACAGTAATTGTTGTGGACTGTTCTAAAGCTTCTCAAATGCAGCAGTGGTGCCTAATTTAAATTAAGATAGGTTTGTTGCAAATGTTCGATCACTTAGCAGGATTGAAGTTCAATTTTTGATTCATCGAGGCCTTCGTTTTATTGTTGGTAACAGAATGTCCTCTGCTAGACCACGATTCTCTGAAAATACATGTAACATTGGAGATGCCGTCATAGGTCATCGTGACAGTGGGGTTACAGGAGTAATGTGGAGTTACAGTGGGAGCTCTTTTTTTGTAAAGTGTTTGATTGGTTATTTAAGATTTTTCTTGTTTCTAGACTGCAGGAGAAAGTCCAAGAAACCATAGAAGCACTCAGGCTGGCTGGTATCAAGGTGTGGGTACTCACTGGAGATAAGCACGAAACGGCGGTTAGCGTCAGTTTATCATGTGGACACTTCCACCGAACCATGAACATCCTTGAGCTCGTGCAGCACAAGTCGGACAGTACATGCGCAGAGCAACTGAGGCAGCTAGCCAAGAGGTAACATACCGGAGACGTCGTCATCTCGGTGACGATCTTAGCTTGGTTTTCTTTTATGTTCAAGTTTTATGACAATCTCGTCGATGTATGTGCCAAGCACATGAAGTTGCCTCTATAGCAATTTATTTATTACTCTAACAACAGACCTGAAGAGGCAGCCTGTCAAACAGGCTGACTTGTTTGTTTATTGTATGGGCAACTGCAGAGTTCATAACAAAATGTAAATTTTCCTGTCACACCAATACAAAGCCAATGTTTTTGTCCCTGAATAGAATAAAGGAAGACCATGTTATCCAGCATGGACTGGTTGTGGATGGGACCAGCCTCTCTCTTGCACTCAGGGAACATGAAAAGCTGTTCATGGAAGTTTGCAAAAACTGTTCTGCAGTGTTGTGCTGTCGCATGGCACCCCTTCAGAAAGCGAAGGTGAGTGAGAATATCGTCAGGAGGTGAGGATTTCTGGAACTGTTCTGATTTTTTTCCTGATCTTCTGTGTGACTTCTGAATCCTTGTTAAATTCAGTTGATCTGGAGTTTGCTTGGAAGTTTCTATGTGCATTTGTGGAAAACTTGCAAGTGGATGGAGGAGAGGGTCAAAATGCTGCCACCGCGCAACAAGGCGGCTAATCGTTCATCAGCCTCTTGAGCCTTCTGCAAGGCAGTAGCCATCCTGATCGCTTAAAAGCTTTCACATGGCCTGCTCCATTGCTTCTCCAAAACAAAAAAACTAAATTGAGAAAGAGGAGGAAGTAGCAGGGAAGGGAAGCTGAAGTCTGGTCTCCAGGGGAGGTTTGCCTTAATGCTCTCTACTTAGATCATTTTTCCTTCACATGTGCTTAATTTTACTCAAATACAGTTCAGATCAAATTCAGACTTTGTGATTCTTTTTTTTTTTTTTTTTTTTACTCTAGAAAGCTGAGCTCTGAACAACTGTAATTTCCTTTTGAAATTTTCTTCATTCTATGCTTCTCTTCCTTTTTCTTTGACTAACACTCAGTTGTATACCTCAACTGGAGTATTTTTTAATTTATTATACTTGTAGCTTATCTAAAACACGTTTTAAAGGCTTTTTGCATGTATTTCCAGTAAATATTAAATCTCCAGTAATATTAAACCTCTGAAAGGCCACCGCTGCCCACTCTGTTCATACACCTTGTCAAAAACAAAAGGGAAAAGAGATTTTTATTTTTTTTTTACCTTAAAGCACTAGAAACCCCTTATGAGGTACTAGATGTGCAAAAGAGGGCAGGCTGGTTTACTGTAGCCTGAATGACCTCTTCTGAGGTCCCTCTTCCTGCTTCCAACATTTAGCCAGACTTCTAACATGCTCTTTAGAACCACTTCGTTATACAACTGCTCAGCTGTGTATAAAACTTGGCATAGTACTAGTTTCAATAAAATGTTAAAAGGAAGTTGTTTGTAACTACGATGAGAAAAACAATTTGTTGGGTATGTCTGCTTTATGTACATTTTTAGCTGAAATTTTTGCCCTCCCCTCTCTTTGAGGTGCAGTGACTTGCCTGTATGGTGTCCTTGTTCTCATTATGTCGTTTAACTTGATTTATAAGGTGTTTTGTACTGCCAGATTCGGCAGGTGGCAGCCAATAATGCTTTCCTGAATTCTTATCTGGTCCGGCAGATAACCTCCGTTACTTCCTGTGTTTTGCCATGAAGTACAGTAAAACCTAATTTTGATGACAGTGACTTTTTAATTTTAAATGCTGAAGTACATAAATCAGCGAGACAAACGCCATGCGACACGGGGGGCTAAGCATATGGCAGCTCATTCCAGCCTTGCGTCTGGTTCTCTGCTGTAGGCACACTTTTTGTAAGGATTATTCCAAGGTTAAGCTGGAACTTGGCTAATATTTCCTGCATCTTTTCCTTTAATTGTAATGCCTGTTAGTAGATGGCTAGCAGTCTCACTACTTGTTTTTGTATGTTTTATGGCTCAGAAACCTTTTTAAACATCTTCCATGTCAGTCACTCAGGTGCTACAGATCGCCGTTGGCAAGGTTTGCCAGAGGCTCTGTCGTGACCTTTTTGGGTAGAGTTTTGTCTGTCTAAATCACCAGGTCTTCAGTATCTCATGAGGACTGATCTGGGCGAGATGCTGCAGCCTTGCTATCTCTTTAAGGCTGCATGTACTTGAAATAATTACCCCTTAGGAGGGGGGAACCTTCAAACTTGAACATTGCACCTGCAGTTAGGGAATGTATTCCCCCAACCTGGTGGACTTCTCTGCACCGCAGACTGCATTTACTCGCTGTTGCGTTCCTCCGGCAAAGCGAGTCACCGCTCGAGTCCGTCGATGCGCTGGCCCTGCCAGCGAGCGTTGTTATTTGAATACAGTCATTTGGCTGCCCACCTCCTGCAGTTGTTGCTCTGCTGATATCTCCACTCTGGGGTTTTCTGGAACTCTGGGGAGGAGATGCAGTATTTTTTCATAGATCAATATTTTTTGTTTTTAGAAAGCCTTCTGGATCTGCATTCACACCTTTTCCTCTGCAGCCCGTTTACAACTGAGCTAGTGAAGCTTCTACCTTTAGTTAGAGCTGTCTGGGAGGTTCATGAATTACTAATTCTCAGCCAAAACCCTCACCTAACTAACTCCTCCCTATTTAGAATACTGTTGGCACTTACGTTAAAGATCCCTTTCCTTTCTGGGAAGAGCAGGATGTCACCGCTCTGCTTTTGACGATGTTGGAGCCTTGTATGCAAACAGGTTTTTCCCAACTGAGAATAGCCATTGGGGATAGTGAAGCTGCTGTGTAAAGAAACTGTTCTCCTTAATAACACGTGTATTGATCTTTGAGCTAATGGGGTGTTCTCTCAGATTCCTCTTTTACACTGGTTAGTTCCATTGATCCAAGGCGTGAAGAACCTGGGCATGTCTAGTAGAGGGCACTCAATCTGGATTACTCCCTAAGTAAATTTCCAGTTCCAACTTTTATGTGACTGTTGTATGATAAAGCACCAGATTGAGAATTGTGAAAGAACATCTAGGTAGGAACAGCAAAAGAAGCTCGAGGCAGGCATAGTATCTATGTAAGGCTTGTGCCCCAAAGCAAGCAGCTTTTCCGAAGGAGCAGTGAATTTGTGCCTGTGATAGGCCAAAGATGTTTTTCACCCAAGCATGCGAATTCATAAAACATGAATTATGTTGGCAGGTTGGTAACTGAAGTTTCTTGGGAAGGAGAGGCATGGTTTGGCTAATAGGAAAAATTTCTGCTGCCCTTTTTTCCAGGTAGTGCGACTGTTAAAGACGTCTCCAGAGAAACCTATAACCTTGGCGATCGGTGATGGTGCTAACGATGTGAGCATGATACAAGAGGCACATGTTGGCATAGGTAACTTTCTTTTGTCAGAAGAGATAAAAGCAAATAAGATGCAAATTTTAGTAGAGGATTAAGTCATGAATAGTGAGCAGATAAAATCCTAATGCTTGTGCACCTCTGGATGTGTTCATGTGAGTCATCTGTTGTAGCAAGGGTTTAGTGAAATGTAGAATTTAAGGCTGTTTGCTTTCAGAAGCCTTAGGTTTATTGCGTAGCCTACCAATAATCAGAGGTCCTGCTTAATGCTGCCTTAAGAACAGCAGAGATTCTCTGCAACCAGCATCTCAGTACTCTGGTTCAGATGTTGGACGTGGGTATCTCTGACTTCAGACATGGCCAGGTTCTAAGTTCTTCTGTAAGCTGCACCTTTAAACCTTTCTTGGCACTGAACTGCCGCTGTTCGCACCTCGCCTGTATTGCTGTAGAAGTGCCGTCTGTGTCTGGTGTGTCTTTGAGGAGAAGGCTTTCCTTGTATCTCCTGAGAGGCTGGTACTGATTCTCAGCTGAGCTTGGCAGCTTTCTCTGTTCTCTCTGTTCATCTTGGTTTCTCTTCCATACAAAACAAAACATACGTATGACTGAATTGGCACCCATCACGTAGTGTCTTGGATGGCGTTGGTTACAATAGCAGATCCTGAAGGCTCTTACGTAAGGTATCAGTGCATCAGGATATTCTATGTCGCCCCTTGTGGTTGGAGAGGCGTATGTCCTGTTTATCATGCACATCCTGTGGCCGTGACCATGGGTAGAGCCTGCTTGAGAAGGTGACAGGCCAATAGCAAATGATGCTTTATTCTACAGCTACTTGGTCAACTAACTGAAGCTTATTATAAACAAAATAATCCAAGTTTCATTGCCATTTGTAGCATATTAGACATTGCATGTATGTTGGTCAGAACTAGCAAGCCTTTGCCATGGAGGCTGATGGGACCTTAAGGCTATTTTTTTTTTTTTTTTTTTTTTTTTTTTTTCCAAAGGCAGCCAGCAATTAAGTTTCTGGTTTTCAGGAATCCTGGCCCGCTTTTCTTCTGTAAAAGAGCATTTTGTGTTCTCTGTGTACGCTTATCCTAATCTTAATAATAGTTTTTAGAAATGAATTTGTGTTCAGCTGTGACAAGTGACGAGCATTGTCAGCTCATCGGATTTGGCAAACTGCCATTGTAAGAACATTTCTTTTATTCTGCTGTTGAGTACGGGCCGTACAATATTCCCAGAAAGTACCGTAAGAAAAACTTCTCTGAAGTAAGACATGCAGAGCAAAGATAATTGATGATGGATTGATAATGGTTTGCTTGTTTTGGGAATTTTGATTTTGTCTGAGTGTTACTAATTCTGTGTCTTCCCATAAACCTTTTCTTAAGCAGAGCTTATGGAAATAGCCCCTTTTTTTGTTTGTTTGTTTTAATTGGCATCAAATGAGCAGTTTCCCTTGGTTGTAAGAGTCAGGAATGGTGCCTTCTTTTGGAACTGAAAGTTGCTGAAGCCTTTATGAAGTTGTAGTGTGGCAAAACAGAACTGTAGCTTCAGATGTATGTTGTTGATTTTTTTTTAAACATTAATTTTTACAATGTTTAACCTGTTTTCTGTTTTGTTTCCCAAATATTACAGGAATCATGGGCAAGGAAGGAAGGCAAGCTGTAAGGAACAGTGACTATGCAATAGCACGGTTTAAATTCCTCTCCAAGTTGCTTTTTGTTCATGGGCACTTTTACTATGTTAGAATAGCAACCCTTGTACAGTACTTTTTTTATAAGGTGAGTCTTGCAAGAGTGCCAGGGAAGTTCACAGAAAAATGTGTCACTTTCTCCCAGTGAGAAATTTATTTCAGATCTGACCGTTTTGTTTGGAACAGGTTAAATATCTCTGTTCAAACACTTTTTCTGGGCTGCTTTTTAATACTTTAGAACCAAATGTAGTAGTTTAACTGTGAAATTGTTCAGTACTTCCACCTAGAAATAGTTTTTAAATGCCCCAGCAAGTTTGTCTAGGCTGAGGGGCAAAGTTTGTTCTCTGAAAGCAGTGTTACTAGCTTGAAATGAAATGCATTTTTTTAGCCAGATGTAAAAGCATGGCCTTTTATGTTTATTGATTTGATACGAACCAAACCCGCTTATCTTTCTTAAAAGAAAAAAGGAGCACAGCAGGTAGTTGAGGGAGGGAAGGGCAGAAAGCATGTGGGGAGAGAGCATGCTCTTTGCCGGCAGGCTCACCTTGAGAAAACCGAACGGTCCCAGCCTTGACGCTGCGAGGGAAGGGAGCCCCAGGGAGCGGGTTTTCTCTGGGTACCTCTCGGGGAGCTAAGGGCATGGAGCAGCAGGGTGAGCTCAAGCAACACACTAGAGGGCAGAGTGGGGCATGGGCCTGGTAGCTCAGTCCTGGGCTGCAGTGTTTGAAATCCTCATAAAGTCTTGGTTTTTTCCACTTGATCATCAGTGTTGATAAGAAGTCAATGTGAGTTCCTAGCATTGGCCACCAAGCCACTTGTCATCTGCTGCTCTTTGCTTCCATTTAAAGACTGGTGTTGGGTTTGGGGCTCTGTTTTGCCTACCCCCATGCAAAAAGGCCACATGAGCAGGGCACAGGCTTTCTTGAATGAAGTGTGGAAACTATTTTGCAATTAAATTCTTAACAAGAAACTGAAGGGAACATGGATCTATTTCTCCTTGTTTAATACTGCCTGTACTTCCACGATGAGATTTGTTCACATATCATTAAGTTGGTATTTTTCAGGGTCATTGTCCCAAAGGACAAACAAAATATGCTCTCAAGCAGAGCCCATTGCTTTCCTTTGCCAAGTAAAATGCTGAAAGGCTCTATGCTCTCCCTGTGTATTTTTACCAGCTTGTAAGAGTATGCAATTTCTTTTTAGGGTTGAGAGACACATACTGAGGATTAACCATTTCCTTCACTTTTCTTTTTTCAGAATGTGTGCTTTATTACACCACAATTTTTATATCAGTTCTTCTGTTTGTTTTCACAACAAGTAAGTATTGGATGCCTTGTATCTTTGTAAATGTGTATGAGACACTCGGGGTAAATAACTAAAAAAAATTGGGAAAGAACTACACAGGAGCAGTACAGATTTACACTTAACAAATACCCAGCTTCATTTTCTATATTCGTTAGTGTGTTGTTACCAGATGGTTATGTGAGTAGAGCTTTCTTCTAACTAGTATATTCACGTAATTAATGATTTGTTGCTCCTATTAGTGTGCTAATAAATTTTAATGAATATAAACAACTTCTCTCTTTACAAGACTCAAAATATTTTTGTTTCCATTTCCAGACGCTCTATGACAGTGTATACCTGACTTTGTACAATATTTGTTTCACTTCCTTGCCTGTCCTAATATACAGCCTTTTTGAACAGCATGTGCATCCGCATGTATTACAGAGTAAACCTGTGCTCTATAGGTACGTATATCATCTTATGTGCTCTATAGGTACGTATATCATCTTATGTGCTCTATAGGTACGTATATCATCTTAGGTGCTCTACTGGTATGTATATCTTGAGTGTATTATCACAGTAGCACATCGCCATCCCTGGTGGTATTTAAAGGATACGTAGATGTGGCACTTGGGAACCTGGTTTGGTGGTGGACTAAACCAGTGTGCGATTAACGGTTGGACTCGATGCCCTTAAAGCTCTTTTCCAATCAAAGTGATTCTATGATTCTCTCATTTAGAACCACAGTGGCACCTGCAGAAGTCTGAACTTGCTATTGTGCATTCCTACTGTATTTTATCTGTAATTTACCCAATTTTTAGTGACTATCTTGACAAGGAAGAACTGCAGCTGCATAGTTTTCATCCTGAAAATTAATTAACATGAGTATTTTAAGAGAAATGTCTTTTTATGTCAGTTGTGTTAAGGCTGGAAGAGAGCTGAGCGCTTGGTCAGCATACACAATGGGCAGCTTTCTCCTCTGTTACGTGTAGGAGATGAAAATTGCTCAGACGTGCACGTGAAAACTAGGAGCCTCCAGTTAGGGGAAGTGTGACAAAAAATGCGTTGCTAAGAGGGGGAGAGATTGCCTGGAGAATTGGAAGTCCTCCCAGTGGTAGCATGTCGCACTGCATACTGCTCTTTGGAGAAAAAAGTATGTGTTTTTGTAAAAAAGAGATGTGTCTCAGGTGTTTTTTCTTTTCCTAGAGGTGTTTAAGCAGAACAAGTGGCAAGTATGAGGAGATGTGTCTGTCTCTTCCTCTTGCACTTCCACCGCCAGGGAGAAGAATTCTAGTTTGTGCTGTTCTGAATGTGACCCATTAGAGAGACCCTTGCCATGGGTGATGTCTGCTTAAAGCAGAGGCAAATCATGAGAGCTGAGAGTTCCTTTTTTGCTCGTGATTTATGTATTTTCTCATATGTCAGCATTCGTTACATGTATCCTAGTGCAGTTGAAAGTCACATTTGTTGAAAGCAGTAGCAGTCATGCAATAGGAGTAGCTGATGGGTTATATGAAGACAGTCTGAAATCCCAAACCTGTTTTATTTCTGCAGAGACATCAGTAAAAATGCCCACCTGGGATTTAAACCCTTTCTTTACTGGACCATCTTAGGCTTCTTTCATGCGTTTGTTTTCTTTTATGGCTCGTATCTTCTAATGGGAGAAGACACTTCTCTGCTGGGAAATGGCCAGGTACAGTATCATAAGAATTATTCTACCACTCTATTTTTTGTGATATTGCTTAATGGGTTTTTTTGAAAAACGCTCATGTCAGAAAAATTGAAGTTTTTATTTTTACGAACTACATAATTACCAAAGATGCTTTGCCAATATTCACGTGTGCTCTCAAGAGGAGCGTTTCTTAGTGTGGGAGCTGTAAGACATGTCAGGCAGCATATGCCCATGAAGAACGTGTCTTTCAAGATAACAATGTATTATGGTTGTCTTAAACGTTTTTATTTTGTGTACTGTCTGTGTCAAAACCATGGGTCAGAACTTCAGTAAATGAGAATTTATGTTCATTCATTCAAAACTCATTTTGAGTTGGACTTAATTGCAGTGTCAGACAATGGCTTCTCTTTAGCATCTGTTATAAAATTAGGCTTAAATCTGCAAGTTGCCAAGAGTCTCAAAGCTTTTTCTGCAAATGTATTATTTTAATAATTCAGAATTTTTAAAAATTAAGTGGTGCAAACTGCTTTTAAGTTATACTTTTTATTCAATAAATATTTCTAAGATAGTGACTTAATGAAATCATCAAATGGAAATTTGGCGCTTTCTATTTTGAAGATGTTAAAGTTAATGGGAAAAGTCATACACAAAAATCTCCAAAGCTTGGATGAAACCATTACAAGTCCGCTTCCCCCTTTTGCCTGGTTCTGAGTTAGTTAGCCCCATTTAGAACAATTAGATACTGATTTTTCTCATAAAGCTGTTAAGTGTGGCGAGGCAAAAATACCTTTGCTTCTCTCATTATGTCCTCCTTGCCACGGACATGAGGCGCTTGCCGACCCTCGTGTCGTGCTGAGTGGAGTCGCAAGGTACGGCACAGGGTGCAGAAGTAGCATCGCGCTGGATTCACAGCAGCCACTGCCGGTAGGGCGTGGGCATGAGCTCCGGAAGGTCAGCCCAAAAAAGGGTTTCCATGTAATGGTGTGCAGACAACGGCCAGGATTGTCTTGGGTGACTAAAACCAGCGAGCGCGTGTGCTGGCCGTCAGCATCCCCGCAGACAGGAGCGATGGAGGGGCGGCGCTGCAGCTAGCCCGAGCACCGCTCTCATCACGGGGTGTTTGGCAAGAGCGTTAAATACTCGTGCTTTAGGCTAAAACGTCCCTTACAGCTGAGGTACGAGTGTGTGCGTCCCCTCCTGTCGTGTAGTACAAGCCGTGTGACTCTGAAGCCCTTGTGATCAGAAATAACCTTCAGCACTCTGCTGATGACGTGATTCCACGCTGTGAATCGGGGCGTTCCTGTGCAGCGGTCTCAGTTGTCAAAGCACCTCACTTCAGAATTGCTCAGCAAACATCCGCGAGGCAGGAGCAGGCTTTCGTCATCGTATTTAGTACAAATGTTTGCTTTGGGGGACAGGGTATGTTCTGTGAGTCTGGACCAGTGTGTTAATGTAGGCTACGGAGAAGCCTCTTTTAATGGTTTCTTGTCTAAATTAACCTCAAGATTATTTTTTTTTATATACTTCGTAAATGAGCATACTGGAAATAAAGCTTTCAGATGTGCTTTGGCTTCTCATGTATGATGTGATGTGGCTTAAAAAAAAAAAAAGTCTTAGCTTTTATTTGGAGATACTCTCTACCTCTCTGTGTGCCCAAAGATGGTTCTTGGAACCGGTGGAACTGTGTGTTGCAGTAAATATCTGTGGTGCATAGAGTATGTTGCAGATTTAAGGTGTGCCTGAAAAAGCCCAAGTTAAGGGCAAGAGGCGGCCGTGTACTGCTGAAGCGCCTTCTTGTACGCCGTCCTCGGGAAGCGATGGCTTCGCGGGAATGTGCGGTACAGGGAACTGGCGGTGCAGGACATCGCGTCGCCACCCCCAGTTCTCGGTCTGGAGCAAAGCCAAACAGAAGAGAATGTAAATGATTTATTAATGCTGGTGGTTTGCTAGGCTTACCTGAACACCTTGTGCAACAACTTGATCTTGTAGTTCTTTTTTCTCCCCCTTTTTTCACGCTGTGCATGTCGTCAGCTATTGAAACCTAACAGGCAAATGGTAAGAGTTTAGAATAGGCGGAGATACAAAATATTGTGTCTGTTACTTCACAGGATTAAAAGATGCAGCATCCACAGTGTAAACGTGTTCAAAAATAAAATGGTGGCAAGAACCTGTTGGCATTTGGCGTTCTCCCTCTGTGGCCCTGGGAGCAGCGTCAGCAAAGACACTTTCTTTCACAGACGGCTCAGGAGCAGGGACTGTTACTGCAGCCGCTAACAGCCAGCAAGTCGCTTGTTAGAACGCTACTGTCGCTGTGAAAAGTAAATAGAAGGCTTCAGAAGAAATGTTATAACAAAGATTGTTAAAATTCTCAGTAAATCCAGACTCGTGGCTGCTCAGTTTCGTACCTCGCGTAAAGAGGAGCCGAGCAGCTCTGAGATCTAACGTCAGGCTGTTGGGGAATTTTTTGTCAGAGCTCTGCAACAAGGACTACAACTGTGCAAATCCCAGTTTCGTGCCCCTGTGCTGTACGGACGCGTCAGCTCTAGGATGACTTTTGATTGCCTGGCTGCATGGGGTGCCTTCCTCCTCGCTCCCTTAGTTAGCTACCGGTAAATGCAGAGTGGAGGGGCCGGTCGTTGTCCGGTGCGTCAGCGGCAGAAGTAGCGACGGAACAGCAACGTCCTCGGGTTTGGCGCCCAGGCCGCTTACAGGAGCGGAGCCGTTGTGGAACGGCAGCGTGTCTGTGTGGCATGCGTGTAGGTAGATGGCAGACTCGGCGTCCCTGCTTGGTTGTCAGAGCTGAGATTTTATTGTTGCAGAACTTGTTCAGAGTTTTCATAGTTTCACTTGGTGGGCCAGAGAATGCAGAAGTGACAGATACAGCAGTTCAGAACGGCAGCTTCATTTTGGGTTTATTAGCCTGGAAACAAAGTGTCTTTTCCTTAGAATTTTCTTTGAAAAATATGATGGCACCATTATTTTTGAATGGTAGACTTGTGTTTGGGGTAAAAAGTGAACTTTCAGGTGATGCTGCATGTTGAAGATGATCTGGAAATGTTTAAGTTCAAAGTGTTTGCACTTATGTCAAAGTGAATACGTTCCACCCAGTATTTGCTTTCTGTTGGATGCTTGTACTTAATCGATCAAACGGATGTCTTCATTTTCCTGTCATCTCATGCGGCTGGTTTGGACTTCCTTCGTGTTTCATGCAGCCTTTGTGGTGACTTGTTCTGAACCAAGAAGGAAGATGACTTGTGGGTCGTTAATTTTGCTCATCATTAGCTGTATTATTTTCTAGTTGGTTGTGTTGTGTCCTTGCTTTTTCACAACACAAGTTGTTACAAACCTGTGTCCACGGGCCTGTTTCGGCAGTACAGCTGACGGGACGGGAATCTGACTTCTCTGCTCCTTACTGATACTTTTTTTTTTTTTTTCCTTCCATGATTTTTGCCTTGCCATTTCCTTAGATGTTTGGGAACTGGACATTTGGTACTTTGGTCTTCACCGTTATGGTTATAACTGTTACGATGAAGGTATGGTATTGCTCTCGTTACTCTCTGTGTTGGGGCATGTAGACAAATACGTAATAGAGCAATAATTTAAAATCGATTCAGAGGTCATACAGTAGTTACTGATTCTTGAGGATTCCAGATAAATGATCTTTATGTTTGGTTTCAATGTTGGTTAAATTTTTCTTTGTAGTTTTTGCATGCTACAGTGATATTTAGTGTTGGAGCTGGCAGTTCATAAGTATGTTCAGACCAGTATTTATGATTTTCTGTGAAGACGGGAGGAAAAGGAAGTTCACTGAAGTATTCTTTGTTTTAGATGGCACTAGAAACTCACTTCTGGACATGGATAAACCATTTCGTTACGTGGGGATCCATTGTGTTTTATTTCATATTCTCCTTGTTTTACGGGGGAATTATCTGGTAAGTGATTTTTTTTTTTTTTTTTTTTATTCACCCACACCCCCTTCCTATAGCGCGTACGATAGGTGAAGGTATGAAAAAACATTGCAGTAGTATGTTCCACCATGTTACTCTGATTTTTGTGACAGGTGTCGGAAAATAAATTTTTAACCCTAGAGTAACCACCCACTTTTGGCGATTCTTTTAGAAATTTGAGCAATGCTGCTAAGCTATCCTGTGCTTGATGACAGGAATTCTTTCTGACAGCCTGTGTCTGTAAAGGCGTTTTTGGTTTTAAAAAGTAGATAGTTTCCCAGAGGTGCTGTAGATGTTTGCAACAGCAATGAAGACACAGAGGTTTGAGTCAGTAAAGTGATGTATTTTTGCTTGTATTTTGGGGTCTTGGATGGTGACTGATTTCCTGTAACACAATTTAAAACTAAACCGGAATGTTTACCCCCCGCAGTTCGGTACCCTCCTTCCCCAGAGTTTCTTTGCAGGTCAGTTCCAACAGATTGCTCGACGACTTCATGGGCGCCATGCACTTGTACCTCTGCGTCGGAGAGACTCCCAGCTCGACGTAAAATAAGATACGCTTGAGCCTGCCTGGGCTGCACTTCTGTTTCTGGAAGTTCCCTTGAGTAATCACCGCCTCTTTTCACTTCCCAGGCCATTTTTACATACCCAGGATATGTACTTTGTATTCGTTCAGCTGTTGTCCAGTGGTTCTGCTTGGTTTGCCATAATCCTCATCGTCGTCGCTTGTTTGTTTCTTGATGTTGTGAAGAAAGTGCTGTACAGACATCTGCAACCCACAAGTACTGAAAAAGCCCAGGTAACGTTATGCTTTTGTACCAACTTTGTCTGCAGATAAAAGAACACAGTTTTTAAAATCCGTCTTGTAAACTAATTACTTTCCTGTGATATTTAATTGTCCCCTTACATTGCTGTCATGTTTAATGCGTAAAAGTGTTCTCGTTTCAAAAGATAATTGTTAATTTAAAATTACAAAAACGAGGACACCATTTTACAAGGAAATAACATTCACGTTTAAGTAATTGCTATTAACAATAGTGGAATTACTTATAAAGGGGTCAGTCAGTCCTTTGCATCTCAGCTTGCAACTGTATGATCAAAATACATATTTTTGTACTGCATTAAACATTACTTCAGTAGGACTAGTTTTAATTAGTATTTTTTAAATCTTGATCATATCATATGCCACGTATTTGATTGATTATGTAAAGATAATTACCCATGTGGCATGTTCATAAATTCCTAAGAGGTCTAAAAATACGCTGTGATAATAGAATCTCCCTTTTGCTGGACACAGGCTACAAAACCTCCTTGAAATCACTCTGTTGAAATGAGGCTGTCTTTTAGGGAAGCACCTCATCGATATTTGAGTGTTTTCTTCTTTCTCATGGCAGTTTGGAGAGGTCATCCCGACCCAGTGTTCTAATAGCTGCTGCCTCGGTTTTCAGTTCACAGCATTTTATCTCCTTACACTTTTTCTGCTAAACTGAAAAGCTGCCTGTTAACAATTTTTTGTTTTGTTCACGGTCAGGTTTGTGATCGAGCTCATTTTCTCACTGATAAGTGTATTGGACTTGCCTCTCATCTCAAAAAGGTTATTTTCCAGTCTTTTAACCATTCTTGTATTTCTCCTGTAATCTTCACCATTCCTCAACCTCATCCTGAAGTTTGGATTTCACCAGTGGACACGGTATTCCAGCACAGCATACATCAGTGCCAAGTACGGAAATAATGAATCCCCCAGCCGTATCCACTTTGTAAAATAATATGCATCGATAACCCGTTACCTTTGCATCTTTCCTCATGTGCAAGTGATTGTGCTGGCTTCTTCCAGGCTGTTGATGAGAGGTCAGATAGCGTAGGGCCAAAAAAAAGTGGGAGTTGACAAAGATATCCCATATTCAGTTATGCTGTGAAACCTGTGAGTGGTGTTTAGTCCTTGGTGTGCCACACTGATTTTGTGGTGTCCTGATCGCTTAGTGCAGGTTACACTGAGCTGTGTGCCGGGCAGAACTCCTGGCTGCGTTACATCAATACTGCTACCTTTTGCACCTAACCTTCGGGTTACTTTGATGTAAGTGCATGCTGATTTACTTAAATTATATTGCCCTGCTAATTTGCATGTTAAAAAAACCCACGTGAAACATTCTTTTAATTTGCCTAGGATCAACATCATGCTGGCAGCCTATTGCTGGTCAGAATATCCCATTAGTCCCTCTTCAGAACTGGAACAGTAGCTGCTTTTTCCACTCTTGGAATTTAGCTAAAAGCCAAGGTAAATAGCCACTCACTTTCAGAAGGCAGTTCAGCTAGACCTGGTTGTGTGTTGCTGTACATCTTGGATTAAGAGTCTTGAATTAGGAGAAATTCTATAGGTAATGATGGCTACTTACCACTTTTTTTTTTTCTTCAAAAACTCGTGACAGTGTTTATTGAACACTTGTCTTTCCTTCCTTCTTGTACATCAGCTGTTTCTATTTGGCAGCGTGTAGGTATGGTGGTTGAGGCTTCTCACATTGCTAAAGTGCTTGAATTAAAAATCAAAAAGCCCACATCTCTTTTCCCTAGCCTTGTCCATGTTCTTCCTGTTGCACACTCTTGCTTTCTGAATCAATTGGAAAGAATTTCAGGGTTTGCTTCCATTGCAGGTGTGGTGCCAAGGACACAGTCAGACTTCTTATTTTTAAGAATTAATCTTGATGAGAGTCTAACACCTTCCGTGTGGCTATAGCTTGATTCATAGCCATGGGGACTTTGCTTTGTCCATCTCTCTGTCGTATTTTTTTTTTTTTCCTTATGCTCATTCTACATTGTCATTTGACAGTGTCAGCATTAGAATCACAGAATCGTTTGGGTTGGAAAAGCCCTTTAAGCTCCCCCAGCCCAACCCTTCCCCTACCCCTGCCATCCCACCCCCAAACCCTGGCCCTCAGCACCGCCTCTGCC